TGTAGAAATGGACAGAACTACATGGTGAGAGAAAAGAGGGGAAGACAGAGGTTCTATAGAGGGTAAGCAGATCTCGGGTAGAGTTTTCTGAGTGCTAGGAGTAGAGAGTAGTGGAAATGGAGAATGAGGAAATGGAGGACAAAGATGAGGCTGGAAGCATAGGAGTTATTCGTTAGCAGGACTATGGGCTAGGGAACTGGACAGAATTGAGGCTATGGAGACAGGATTTCATCCCAGAGAAATAAAGTAGACAGATAAAGAGCTTAGTGTATCTATATTTATTCTCGTCCTGAATACCTGATGGGGCCGTAGCTGTATTGATAGAATTTTGATTTAGAGGAATAAAGTTACAGACATAAGAACATAGTGTATGTAGAATTTTTTCCCTCAGATATCCCACGCTGGATGTAGCAAAATCCCCAGACAATAAACATCGAGGAACTAACCTCCACAAGCAAGAGGAAGCAAGGGACATGAGAACAACAGACAGAATATGGTATTCTGGATGTGATCCCAGGACATTAAAGGGCTTGAGAAGCAAGTTAAGCAAATCTAAGTAAGTGTGAACTTGAAAAAAATAATAATGTTCTTGTATTAGTCAGGGTTCTCTAGAGGAACGTAACTTATAGAATGAATCTATAGATAGGTAGATAGGTAAATAGAAGATAGATAGATAGATAGATAGATAGATAGATAGATAGATAGATAGATAGATAATTTATTACAGTGACTTACAGGCCATGGTCCAGCTAGTCCAACAGTGACTATCTACCAATAGAAAGACCAAGAGTCCAGTAATTGTTCAGTTCATGAGGCTGGGTGTCTCAGCTGGTCTTCAAGTATATGCTGTAATCCTGAAGAAGTAGGCTCTAATGCCAGTGAAGGAATGGACTTGCCAGCCAGAGGGAGGGCAAGTAGGCAAAGAGCAAAAGATTCCTTCTTCCATATCCTTTATCTAGGCTGCCAGCAGAAGGTGCGGCCCAGAATAAAGGTGGATCTTCCTACTTCAAACGATCTGGATTAAAAGTGGGTAATCCTGAAAGGACCAAGCAGATGCCATAACAGGCTGCTCAGTCTTCTCTCAGAGAGCAGGCCTCAATTTCAGTTTCCTGAGACTTGAGCAAGCAGTTTCTGGGAGGGCCATGAACAAAAGACATAGTCCTTGCAGTAGCTCCTTTTCTGCATGTACTCTGCCTGCTCAAAGTTCAGCCAGATGTTTACTGTCTGGGACCCCTCACCAACTTAGAGTTATGTGCATGATGTGCTAGGCCAGCCAGCCCCCATGGCAGCTCAAGGACAGAGCCTGGACCACTGAGCCAGCCCCCACAGTCAGTACATGCTAGGCCAGCCAGCCCCCATGGCGGCTCAAGGACAAAGCCTGGGACTTGTGCTGGACTGCCCTGAAAGTGATAATTGTAACCACCGACCAGTAAATTCAAAGGTTACATACCCTCACCCAACTAAAAGAGAACAGAGATAAAAATAAACCAATCCGAGTTGCACCCGTGCAAAACCCCCAACACACCCCCCTGAAGGGCTTGTGGTTTTTGCCTTTAAAAAGCTAGCCTCACAAAGAAAGAGCAACTCCTCCCTGCCTCACTGTATTGGGTGTAGGAATGAGTTCCCTGTCTAGACTTGTATCTACAGAATAAACCTTGCTGTTGCATTGTGGACACCTATGGTCTTCGGTGGTCTCTTTGGGGTCATGATCTGGGCATAACAGTCCCATTTCTATAACTAGTCTTTCTCTGCTCTGTCTGCCATTCCCCCCCCAAAAAAATATGACACAGACACTTATTATTAACTATGAAAGCCTAGCCTATAGCTTAAGCTTGTCCCACTAGCTCTATAACTTAAATTAACCCATTTCTATTCATCTATGTGTTGCCATGTGACTCATAGCTTTTATCTCTCCTCCTGCATGTCTTGTTCCCTCTCCATCTGGTTGGAAGCTCTGCCTTTCTTCTTTTCTGAAACCTCTCTGTCCCCAGAAGTCCTACCTGACTTCTTCCTGCCTAGCTATTGACCATTCAGCTCTTTATTAAACTAATCACAGTGACATATTCACACAGTATAAAGGAACATTTTGCAACACACCTCAAATTATTTAATTAAGAAAAAAAATCTCTCCCAGATATATCCAGTCACTTGAGTTTTAATTAACTCCAGATTTAGTCAAGTCCACAACCAAGAACAGCCATCACAGTGCCCATATTGATTCATGCTGTGCACTCAAGAGTTGTGCATTTCTGTGTTTTGGTGCTGAGAATGGAATCCAGGGCTTAGCACACATTAGGCTAGTACTCTGCCACTGAGCTGAGTGTGTATGTATGTGTGGGGGGGGGGGGCGAGGATCGAACCTGTCATCTCATGTAGGCTAGAGAAGTTCTCTACGACAGAACTACAGCCCTGAGATAGGGTCACATGAGATTTCCCTGGCTGGCCCAGGATTCACTCACCACTCTCTTGTTTCAGCTTCCTAGATAGCTGGGGTTACAGGTACACATCTAATAATAGTAGAAACTGTATAGAGGTTTTATGAAAAATCTCACAGTCACACTTATTCTGAAAACCTAAAACTCTTCTATAAAATCAAGTTAAACATAACAACAAAACCCAAAAGTCAGTCTGTCCTGTGAGCTGGCTCCTCCCCTGTGAAGCATAGAAACCCCACTACCACCACCACCACCACTCACCTTTTCAACAGCCTACTTAATTTACTCCCTGGGTTCATAGTCATTTTAATTGTGGATTCTTATTCATGAAGTTAAAACTTCACTAAGCACAAAAAGTAAAGGTAGTATTTTCCCCACTTCTGAAAACAAGAAACCAACCTCTGAAAAAGGCTTTAAATACTAGTTCTTGTTAATTCCTCAAGAAACAGCACCATCTAGTGTTTTATTGTATAAATAACACACAAAAGGCTCTGGCTACTTCCCTTTAGACATGAACTTAATCCCAGTTCAAAACTGAAATGATCCATGCACAATGTGTGTGTGTGTGAAGATATCACTGTAAATCCCATCAACTTTTGAAATATGTGTTCATAATTATAATAAAACCTCAAAAGAGTAATAAGTTGAAAGTCCATTTCCCTTGAAAGTGTTCACAATTGTTAATGATTCTTGAGGAATTAGATTTAAATGATGTGATTCTGTTTACAAGTTCACTCCAGAATCTGTGTTTACAGAAGTGTCTATTTCTGTGTTCAAAAATTGCAGTCCCCAAACAATGTTTATGAAGGATATTTTATCTTAAATTCAAACCCGCAACAAATCTTAACAGACACTTTTTATTTTAAAGTTAAAAATACTTTAAGCTTTATAAAACAGCATATCTCAGGCAAGACCCTGAGTTTAGATCCCCAATACCCATGTCAAGTCCCAGCACTCCTGTAACAGGATTGGAGCAAAGAAAGGGGAGTCCCTAGAGGCACCTGGGCCAGCTAGCCTGGCGTGCACAGCAGAGAACCATTTAAAACCTCCGTGTAGAGAAAAGTGCAAGATGAGCCCTGATGCATGAGGTTATCTTCACACACACACACACACACACACACACACACACACACACACACACACCATGCATGGCATGCAGGCACCTGCATTCACACACATGAACACATGTAAAGAGAGAGAGAGAGAGAGAGAGAGAGAGAGAGAGAGAGAGAGAGAGAGAGAGAGAGAGAGAGAGGGGAAGAGAGGGGAAGAGCAGAAGTCTGGCCTGGAAAGACGGCTCCACAGTTAAGAACATTGACACTTCTTTCAGAGGACTCAGGTTCAGCTTCCAGCATCTACATGGAGGCTCACAACCGTCTACAGCTTCATTTCTAGGGAATCAAAGCCCTCTTCTGACCTCTGGAAGCACTAGGCACACACGTACATGCAAACCAGGCACATAAAATAAGATAAATTAATCCTAATAAATAAAAGAAGTAATTTTTGAGGTAAGATTGGTTTTGTGATGGTTTTGTTTTGTTTCTCAAGCTATCACTCAGGTTTAATTTGTACTAAAGACACTGATAACAATGAATTCAAGTTGTAATTCTAACATTTTGGTGGTTTTTAGCTTTCCATAAAACCTTCCTTTAGGTTTAGGGTTTATACGTTTTCCTGAATTCAAACAAATTATTGCCCAACTTCAATGATGCTACAGGAGGAATGATGTACCTGCTGGTAATTTGCTCCATTAGTTGGTATCTTTGCCTGGAAATATTGAACTAATCCAGGTATTAAAACAAAACACTGAGGGGCTGGAGAGATGGCTCAGAGGTCCTGAGTTCAATTCCCAGCAACCACATGGTGACTCACAGCCATCTATAATTCGATCTGGTGCCCTCTTCTGGCTTACAGGCAGAATAGTGTATATATAATAAATAAATCTTAAAAAAAAAAAAAAAAAAAAAAAAAAAAAAAAAAAAAAAAAAAAAAACCACTGAGGGCTGGAGAGGTGGCTCAGAGCTTAAGAGCACTGGCTACTCTTCCTAGAGGTCCTGAGTTCAATTCCCAGCATCCATGTGTTGGCTCACACCCATCTATAATTTGATCTGGTGCCCTCTTCTGGTGTCCAAGCATACATGCAGGCAGAACACTGCATACATAAATAAAGATTTTAAAAAAAGAAAAAACAAACAAACAAAAAAGAAACACTGAAGCCAGGTTCAGGGTGGTAAATACTTAAGATTTCAGAACTCAGGAGACTGAAGCAGAAAGAACATTAGCTTGAACCTAGATTGGACTACATAGTGAAACCTTGTTTCAAAAGGAAGGAAGGAAGGGAGGGAGGGAGGGAGGGAGGGAGGGAAAGAAAAGACACAAACAGTGAAAGCAAGAAAATAGAAAATGTCCTGAGACACAAGTTACATAGTAGAAAATTACAGAATATACTTTGCTAAATGTCTCAGACTCAAAAGAATTATGGTGTTTATGTGGACATGTCATTCCAAAGACAGACTCTGCAGCTACTAGGAATCCTTCATTGACCGTGCCAGACCCCCTTCTTACCTGGAAGCTTGAATCTTCACCTTTCAGGGTGTTCCTGCCTGGCATGGATGCACCCTGGAATCAGGGATGCAGAGCTCCTGGGGGCAGAGGTGTCCCTGCACTCGGTCACAGTCCCGGTCAGCAAAGCCTCTTCTGTGATCTTAACCTCATCAACAACGGCACCGACAGAATAACACAAACAAAACTGATGTCCCCTGTTGGGAAAAGAAAAAGTCTTGGTTTTCTGCTGCTGTAAAAGAAACCAAAGTGAAGATATGTAAGAAAGCAATGGCTGCCTGAGAAGATGACAGCGTGGGACAGTTGCCTTTGTGACCTGACTGGCAGAGGCTCTGCTGTGTGCCTGAAACACAGCGGACAGATTGCATCATTTCGTATCTGCCCCCCCCACCAGAGGTTTAAACTGTAATCTGTGTTATTGGGGGATCTTCAAACAAACCAAATTCAGTAGAATTTTTTTGAGTGCAGAATAACTCATAAATCAGGCAGAACTAAAACAGAACTCACCTCCACTTAGAAGCAGGGGCAGTGGAGTGGAAACGAGTCTCTTCTGACACTCTTCTGAGGTAATACACAATGTGTTGTTTTATGTCAGAATTTACGTATTGTTGATTAAACATCATGGTATTGAAGTCATGGATCATCAGAAAAGTCAAATCCTTCCAGGACTTTGCATCTGCGAGAGAAGGGGTTAGTACATTTCTGGCCATGGGCAGGATACTAGTATTGTGTGGGCCTGGATTGTCTTTATTTGGAAAGTAAACAAACCAGTACACTATGCTGAATGAGGTCAACCTCTAACAGTTAATTTGAAGTGCTACTAGACCCAGAAACTTAGTAAAACATTGGTTCTGGAAGCTGTAAGTATTCGAATGGGTAGACTGAGTACAAATGATCTACCCTCACAGGTATAGACAGTCCCCATCCCACCAACTGAGGGTCAGGCTAGAATGAGAAGGTGGGGAGGGACAGCTCTCCTCTGGAGCACCACTTGAGCTGGGATACCTGCTCTTAAACATCAGAGCTCCTGCTTTCTAGGCATTGACACTCAGGACTAACAGTTGCCCACCCCACTCCCTGTTTTTTTCTAATTTAACTTTTTTAAAAAGATTTATTTATTCATTATGTATACAGAAGAGGGCGCCAGATCTCATTACAGATGGTTGTGAGCCACCATGTGGTTGCTGGGAATTGAACTCAGGACCTCTGGAAGAACAGTCAGTGTTCTTAACCTCTGAGCTATCTCTCCAGCCCCTAGTTTAACTTTTTATTGATCCTCTGTAAATTTCACATCATGAATCTCGATCCCATTCATTTCCACATCCCTTCATGTCCACCCTCTGCCCTTGCAACCAACCTGACAAGATAAGATAAAATAAAACTTAAAAGAAAAGGAAATCAGAAAAGTCTCTTCGTGGAAGCTGCAGTATGCCCCAGTGAGTCACAGTTTACCCTTTAGTCCATACATCTTTCCTTGCAAGTGTTCGTTGCAATGAGTTATTGGTCTGGTTCAAGGCCTCTGGTTTCTGCTACACTATTGATACTGGGCTGTCACTAGGGCTTCTCTTGGATAGCCTGTTGTTGCTCTGTGTCATGGAGGTCCTGCAGCTTTGGATCTGCAGGACCAGCCCCTTTACATGCAGATCATAGATAAGGTGGATGTTGTGGTGGGCCAACTCGTAACCCAAGGTTCTGGACCTGGGTAGTTGCAGGTTTGGTCAGCCAGCCAGTTCTCCTGTCTTCACTACCAGAGTGAGCTCTCCAACACGGCCCTGGCTAGTTCACCCCTTGCAGCAACGAGCAAAGTGCTGGGCTGGTTCTCCTGCTTTCACGCCTTCAGGATTGGCTTACCCACACCTACACCATCAGGGTCTGCTCTACTGTGTTACCCAGGCAAGGCACAGGGGCCATTCCACTCAGTGCTGGAGCTGGTGAGGGGCAGGGCCAGCTTTCTCATTCTCATGACCTCACGGCTAGCTCTCCCACCTGCCACAGTTGGTGAGGGGCTCATGCTCATGTTCTCAGGGTTGGCTCACACACACCCCCAACAGGGTCAGCTCTACTGTGCTGCCCAGACAAGGTGCAGGGCCTGCGATCCTGAGCTGGTGAGGTGCCAGGCAGCTGTCCAGTTCTTATGACCTCAGTGCCAGCTCTGCCACCTGCCAGCCCTCTCCCTTTTGACTAGTGAACTATGGCACTTTTGGACTTTATAGTTATATGATCCAGTTCCCAAAATATTATGTGTGAATGTATGTGTACATGTGCTGTTGGTTGTGTTCTCAAGAAACCCTTAACTAATATGGCATCCAATATGTGTGCTTTGCCAGGTGTAAGGTAGGACTCCAGCCAAGTGAAATACCACCCCCCATTAGGTGACATGGAAGCACATCCCACTCCTGCCTGCACCTTGGACCCAGGCCAGCTCCTGGAAAGCTCTCTTCAAAATGCCAGTGGCACCCAAGGATGTTTTCCTCTCAATGATGCTCTAAGTGGGCTCAACTTTTGGGCTCTTGTCTTGAAAAACCAGATTGTGCCTAGGTCCTACATTGTTGCTGTCTCCAAAGATGACTATGAGGCCTTTGTGCTTTAAGATTTCTTTCCATGGAGAACTCTGATTATGAAATAAGAAGTCACAAGGTTCTGACATGGTGGCCCATGCCTGAGACATCCAAATAGAGCCCCAAGCAGCCTTCTGCTTTCCTCCTGCGGTCTTTGTGAACAAGATGGTTTCTAACACATGCACATCCTGTCACTCCCAGAGTTAAAAAAGACAATGGATTTAGTATAATTTTCCTTAAGCATTAGTGTCTCATAAAGACATTCACGAAAGTTCGTATGATTATACCCCTCATGGATCAAATTATAAGTTGATTGAAAATGTTAGAATTATACACAATAGGAGTGTTCCTTGATTGAGATAATTCATATTTCAATTTTAATATAATTCCTGGTTTCGGAGCTTGTTATAACAACTTTGGAAATTAGACACTGAGTTTGCAAAGTTTTCTGTACAACTAAAATGATAAACATATTCCTTAAAAATTGAGTCAAAACTTTCCAATAACTTTCACACCCTGGGATGGTGACTGAAGGTGCAGAGGTTCATAACTGAGGCCCAGAGAGCAGTACCGCTCGTGCAAACATTCCCACCCTCTGTGCAGGCGCATTAACAACCAATGAGTTGTTTTATTAAGTTGTCAAGGAAAACAATTCCCTTTATGAATCTCCTCAAAGTCAAAATTAAGTTGTGTAATAATTTTAATTTGCTCTAATAAATTTTATATCAATCATGAATCTTTGGGATTAATAAAAACATGTAAAAGTACATTGTGCTGTGAATGAGTTCTGGGGTGTGATAAAGGAGGAGGCAGGTGGGTGGAGAAGCACGGACATCATGAAGCCTGGGCTCATCCATCACTCTCGCTGGGCTTCGGAGTCAGGACAAGAACTCTTTTTCTGTCTCAGCAGAACAGCAGATGGAGGAATGACAGACATAGTGTCCTGTTGAGACAGATGTGGTAACCTGGAGTCTGGGCTTCTAGGATCATCTCCCTGGGTTCTCCAGAAAAACTAGGAAGGATGGAGATGAAATCAGTTCCAGATCTTATTATACTGTTTTGTTGTCAACCTCCTCAGCATCGTGGAGCCTGAAGGAAAGCAAGAAGGGGAAAATAAGCAAAGCATCTCCCATTTTGTCTAACCTCTCTGGGTGTACTGATTATAGCTTCTTTACCATTTACTTAATGGCTAATATCCACTTATAAGTGAATGCATAGATACCATGTTTGTCTTTCTGGGTTTGGGTTACCTCACTCAGGGTGATTTTTTTTCTAGTTTCATCCACTTGCCTGCAAATTTCATGCTATTTTTTTTTTTTTTTTTTTTAGCAGCTAAGTAATACTCCTTTGTGTAAATTACCACATTTTCTTTATTCATTCTGTTGAGGGAAATCTAGGTTGTTTCCATTTTCTGGCTATTTTGAATAAAGCCACTATGAACATGGTTGCACAAGTGTCCTTGTGGTAGGATGGAGGATCTTTTGGGTGTATTCCCAAGAGTGGTAGACCTAAGTCTTGAGGTAGATTCACAACTTTCTGAGGAACATGGATTTCCAAAGTGTACAAATTTGCACGCCCACCAGCAAAGGAGGAGTGTTTCCCTTGCTCCACATCGTCTCCAGCATGAATTGTCACTTGTATTATTGATCTTAACCACTCAACAGGTGAAAGATGGAATCTCAAAGTAGTTTTGATTTGCATTTCCCTGAGGGCTAAGGATGTTGAACATTTCTTTAAGTGTTTCTCAGCCACTTGAGATTCCTCTGCTGAAAATTCTCTGTTTAAATCTGTACCCCATTTTTAACTGGATTGTTTGGTTTTTCATACCTACTTTCTTGAAATTTTTATATATTTTGGATATTAATCTTATATCAGATGTGGAGGTGGTAAAAATCTTTTTCCATTCTGTAGGCTGCCACTTTGTCTGATCGATGGTGTCCTTTGCCTTACAGCAGCTTTTCAGTTTCCTGAGATCCCATTTGTTAACTGTCTTAGTGCCTGTGCTATGAATGTTCAGAAAGTTGTCTCCTGTGCCAGTGCATTCAAGAATATTCCCCACGTTCTCTTCTATTAGGTTCAGTGTATCTGGTTTTACATTGAGTTCTTTTTTTAAAGATTTATTTATTTATTATTTATACAGTGTTCTGCCTGCATGTATGCCTGCACACCAGAAGATGGCACCAAATCTCATTACAGATGGTTGTGAGCCAAGTGGTTGCTAGGAATCGAACTCCGGACCTCTGGAAGAGCAGCCAGTGCTCTTAACCTCTGAGTGGTCTCTCCAGCCCTTATGTTGAATGTGAACTTGAGTTTTGCTCAGGATGAAAAATATGGATCTATTTGCATTCTTCTACATGCAGACATCCAGTTTGACTATTTGTTGAATATGCTATCTTTTTTCCAGTGTGTATTTCTGATTTCTTTATCAAAAATTAGGTGTTCATGTATGTGTGGATTTATATCTGGGACTTTAATTCTATCGGTCAATGTGTTTGTCTGTTTTTATGCCAATACCATGTGGTTTTATTAGTATAGCTCTGTAGTACAGCTTGAAATCGGAAATGGTGGGACCTCCAGCAGTTCTTTTATTGTTCAGGATTATTTTAGCTATCCTGGGCTTTTTGTTTTTCCATGTGAAGTTGAGAGTTTTCCTTTGGAGGTCTGTGAAGAATTGTGTTGGAATTTTGATGGGGATTACATTGAATCTGTAGATTGCTTTGGTGGAATGGTCATTCTTACTATGTTAATTCTACCAATCCATGAGCATGGGAAATCTTTCCATCTTTTAATATCTTCTTCAATTCTTTCTTCGAAGACTTGAAGTTTTTGTCATACAAGTCTTTCACTTGCTTTGTTGGAGTTACCCCAAGATATTTTATATTATTTAACGCTATTGTGAAGGGTATTGTTTCTCTGATTTCTTCCTTTGTATATAGTCTGTCATTTATATATAGGAGGGCTACAGGGTTTTATGAGTTAAATTTCTACCAAGCCACTCTGCTGAAATGTTTATGAGCTGTAAGAGTTCCCTGGTGGAATTCCCCTGCATTTCTAGGATGAAGCCTACTTGATCATGATGGATGATCTTTTTTATGTTTTATTGGATTTGGTTGGCAAGTATTTTATTGAGAATTTTTGCTTCTATGTTCATAAGAAAACTTGATCTGTAATTCTCTTTCTTTGTTGAGTTATTATGTGGATTGAGTATCAGGGTGACTGTGGCCTCATAAATGAATTGGGCAATGTTCCTTCTGTTTCTATTTTGTGGAATAATTTGAGGAGTATTGGTGTTAACCCTTCTCCGAAAGCCTGGTAGGATTCTGCACTAAAATCATCTGGCCCTGAGTGGTTTTTTTGTTTATTTGGGTTTTTTTGGGGTGGAGGGGAGACTTAATTACTGCGTCTATTTCATTGGGGTTATAGGTCTGTTTAAATTACTTAACTGATCTTGATTTAACTTTGGTAAGTGGTATCTATTGAGAAAATTATCCATTTCTTTTAGATTTTCCAATTTGAGGGAATACTGGGTTTTTTGTTTTGTTTTGTTTTGTTTTCTTGGGTTTTCGAGACAGGGTTTCTCTGTGTAGTTTTGGTGCCTGTCTTGGATCTCGCCCTATAGACCAGGCTGGCCTCAAACTCACAGAGATCTGCCTGGCTCTACCTCCTGAGTGCTGGGATTAAAGGTGTGCACTACCACCACCCGGCTGGGAATACTGGTTTTTAAATTATGTCTTTATGATTCTCTGGATTTCCTAGGTGTCTGTTGTTATGCCCCCTTTTTATTTCTGTTTTTGATAATTTGGATATTCTTTCTTTGCCTTCTAGTTAGTTTGGATAAGCGTTTGTCTATCTTGTTGATTTTCTCAAAGAACCAATTCTTGGCTTCATCAATTCTTCCTATTGTTCTCTTTGTTTCTATTTTATTGATTTCAGTTTGATTATATCTTGTTGTCTACTCCTCTTGGGTTTGTTTACTTCTTTTTGTTCTAGAGCTTTCTGGTATGCTGTTAAGTTGCTAGGATGAGATCTCTCCATTTTTTTTTAATGTAGGCACTAGTGCTATGAATATTCTTTTAGCACCATTTTCATTGTGTCACATAAGTTTGGGTATGTTGCATTTTTTATTTTCATTTACTTCTAGGAAGTCTTTAATTTCTTTCCTAATTTCTATCTTGACTCATTTGTTTTCATGCAGTAGAGAGTTGTTCAGTTTCCATGAGTTTGTGAGCTTTTTATTGTTTCTGTTCTTGTTGATATCCAGCTTTAATGCATGGTGATAGAATGGAAGAGTTATTTCCATTTTCTCATCTCTGTTGAGATTTGCTTTGTGTCTGAGTATATGAACAATTTTGGAGAAAAGTTCCATGAGATGTAGAGAAAAAGGTGTATTATTTTGTGTTTGGGTGAAATGTTCTACAGATATCAGTTAGGTCTACTTGGTTTATAATGTCCGTTAGGTCCAATATTTTTCTGTTTACTTTTTGTCTGGATGACCTGTCCATTGGTGGGAGTGAGGTATTGAAGTTTCATACTCTCAGTGTATGAGGGTCAATAGGTGATTTAAGCTGTAGTAGTGTTTCTTTTACAAATATGGGTGCCCTTGTGTATGGGGCATAGATGTTAAAGAATTGAAATGTCATCTTGGTGGATTTTTTCTTTGGTGAATATGCAGTGTCCTTCCCCATCTCTTTTGATTAATTTTGGTTTGAAGTCTATTTTGTTAGATATTGGAATGGTTACACAAACCTGCTTTGAATATCTTTTTCCAACCCTTTACCCTGACATAATGTTTATCCTTGATGTTGAGGTGTTTCTTGAATGCAGTGGAAGAATGGAGCCTGTTTTCACATCCATTCTGTTAGTCTATTAGTCTATGTCATTTTAATGAGAAATTGAGACCATTGATGTTGAGAGATATCAATGACCAATGATTGTTGATTCCTATTATTTTATGGTTGTTGTTGTTGATGTTGGTGATGGTAGTGTCCATATATGTATGAGAGAGAGAGAGAGAGAGAGAGAGAGAGAGAGAGAGAGAGAGAGAGAGATTCCCTTGTTTTGGTTTTGCTACTGTGAGATTATTTCTGTAGTTAACCTCCTTAGGTTGGAGTTTTTCTTCTAGTATCTTCTGTAGTGTTTTGTAGATTTCTGGATTTGTAGATAGATATTGTTTAAATTTGACTTTATTATGGACTATCTTATTTACAGATATTGTTTAAATTTGACTTTATCATGGACTATCTTATTTACTCTATCTATGGTGATTGAAACTTTTGCTGGGTATAGTAGTCTGGGCTGACATCTATGGTCTCTTAGAATCTGTAGCACATCTGTTCAGGCCCTTCTGACTTTTAGAGTCTTCATTGAGAAGTCATATGTAATTCTAGTAGTTTTGCTTTATATGTTGCTTGGTCTTTTCCCCTTGCAGCTTTTTGTATTCTTTCTTTGTTCTATATGTTTAGTGTTTTGATTATTATATGGTGAGGGGACTTTCTTTTCTGGTCCAATGTATTTGGTGTTCTTCAAGCTTCTTGTACCTTTATAGACATAGACATGTCCTTTTTTTTTGGTTTTGGTTTTTTGAGACAAGATTTCTCTGTGTAACAGTTCTGGCTGTCCTGGATATTGCTCTGTAGAACAACTGGGCCTCAAACTCACAGAGATCCACCTGCTTCTACCTACCGAGTGCTGGGATTAAAGACATGCACCACCACCACTCCACTAGGCATGTCTTTCTTTAGGTTATGAAAATTTTCTTCTGTGATTTTGTTGAAAACAAGTTCTGGGCCTTTGATCTGAGATTCTTCTCCTTCCTCTTTACCTATTATTCTTAGGTTTGGTCTTTTCACATTGTCTCAGATTTCCTGGATATTTTGTGTCAGGAGTTTTTTAGATTTAACATTTTCTTTGAGCTATGTTCCCACTTTTCCTACTGTATTTTCAATGACTGAGATTCCATCTTCCATCTTTTGTATTCTGTTTGTGAAGCTTGCCTCTGTTGCTCCTGTTCAAATTCCTAATTTTTTCACTTCCAGAATTCCTTTAGTTTGGGTTTTCTTTATTGATTCTACTTTCCATTTCAGGTCTTG